CAAATCCACACGGCCGCAACGGCCAAGTTGAGGATGACAATGTCGTGCACGTATCGATAGTACCCCGCCTGTCCGTACGGTCCGTTGAGCAGCTCGAAAAGCTGGACCGACAGCTCGGAGCACTTTTGGAACGCCGCCTGACGATCCTGCGCGAATCCCGGGCCGGACAGCAACGGGGACGAGTAGATCGAATACAAGGCCCGGTGATAGTTGAACAGCGTGTTGGTGTCGTGGAACAGCAGACACGGCCGCCCCGAATGCTGGCAGGGGATCTCGCTCGCCGGGGGGTTCATCCAGATGGAGCTGGAGCAGGTCTGAGCGGTGATGCCCATCTTGATGAGGCGGGCGTTGCGCAGGCACGTTGCACGGCTGATCTGCGCCGGGTTGGGGCTGCGCGCGTTGGACTGCTTGAGCGAGGTGATGAGGTCGCGCTTGATGTTGGCGTTTTCGCGCGAGGCGGCGAGGCGCACGTCGATGTCCTGGACCATGTCGCCGAGCGACTCGATCCACTCGCGCGGGTCCGGCAGCAGGCTCGGGTCGATGGCGGGCGGCAGATGGCGCTGGTCGCGATAGCCGTCCTCGAAGCACGAGAGCTGCATGATGGTGCGCTGCGACTGGATGAAGGATCGCGAGGGTCCGTGCTTGGATCGCTTCTGCGGCGCAAAGAGCTCGTGCAGGCCGAGCTCGAAGGCCTGGGTGATGGCGAGGCGCACCTTGCGCCAACTGCTGCCGTCCTTGGGATGCTTCCACATGGCGAGGATGGAGAGCGACTGGATGATCTCGAGCTGCGGCGGGATGTCGTCGGCTGCGATGCGCGAGAGGGCGGGCTTGAGGAACTCGAGCGAGTCGAGGTAGCGCTCGACCTTGATGAACTTGGACGAGACGGTGCAGATGGCGGCGAGGAGGATGCGGTAGTCGGGGCTGGACTTGAGCGCCTTGAGCGAGTAGATGTGCGAGTCGAGCAGCGCGATGATGGGGTTGAGGCGGTCGTAGTAGAAGCGCACCAGCTCGCCCACCTCGTCCTCGTCGAAGAGTCCGGCCGAGATGACGGATTCGATGAGCGGACGGCCTGCCGAGGCGGTGGCGACCTTGACCGCCGGCTCCTCCTGGATGTGCGAGTGGAAGGTGGACGAGAGGAGCGCCTTGGAGGCGGTGCGCTCGGAGCTGGTGGTGTCGAGCAGGCTCTGCACGGAGAAGGGGTTGGTGGAGGCGGAGGCGGAGCCGTCGGTGTCGTCGTTGGGGCTGGGGCTGGCGGACTGGCGCGAGTGCGACTTTGGCGCGGGTCTGATCGGAGCGGCGGAGGTGGACTTGGCACGCTGGCCCTCGAGCTTGACGCCGCGATGGTGCGAGGGGACGACGCACTCGATGCTGAGACGGATGCATCGTGTGCAGGCGTTGGAGGCGGTGTCGTCGGGGAAGATGCAGCGCGACTTGATCTTGCGGCATCCTGCGCACGCGCGCCTCTCGGCAAACGGCGTGAACTGCTCCTTGGGGATGACGTCGCACTTTGCGGGCGGCATGGTGGCGATCCAAGAGTGGCGACGGCGTGGTTTGGTGGCTAGAAGTCGCTGAGCAACTGAGACTGCAGAAGAAGAAGCTGGCCGTCACACGCGCATGTCGTTTGCGGCGAGCTTGGCTTTGACTGAGAAGAGGGTAGGACGGCGATGGCGATGGCAGAGATGAAGCGTGAGGATGGTTCGAGTCGAGGGTCCAGTGCAGCGCCACAGCAGCGTGGCAGAGGCACTTTCCTAAGCACCAAAGCGCGCCTCGGACGCACGGCCGGCTATAGCAGCTGCGCAACCCTGCCGGCTTAGCACGAGCTGCTGCGGGCACAAAAGGCAATACTTGCCGCCCTTTTTTGCCCCACAGATTCCCGCAGCCACGGCAGCCGCTTTTTTCATCAAGTGAGGGAAAAAGCCCTTTTCCAGGCGCACAGTCGGCTCTGCTTCGGTGTGCAGTAAAGGCTCTTTCTTTTCCATGAGATTGAGCCAACAAAGAAGGCGGGACGGGAAAAAACCGTCGGAAATTGCTCTGAGAAAAGGGGACCAAAAAAGGCCGATGCCCCCCACAGAGCCTCGCTCGAGATCCAGCTTAGAGGGGGATATGCTCCCACCGTACCAGCCGTGCTGGTCCAAGGTATCACCCGCAGCTGCCAATGCTCCATATGATTGCTGCTGCATCAAGCTTCGTTTCCCACACAAACCCTCTCATTCTTGGTTTGCACCTCGTCTGCAAACGACACAAAAATGCAATGTTGCAAATCGATCAAAAGTCAAGTTGCTCCGAAGATTCACCGCCCAAATTCACCACGCTCCACGCCATTGTCCCGTCTTTCATACGGTGGTGGAAAGCGTCATGAACGAATCAATGCATCCATCTCGTCTGCGTTGCCACCGTTTTTGTGTGCGTGTCTACGTGTGTGCGTTTCATAGGCTATCGGATCTGCGAGCCGCCACCGAGGTTGCTCCTCGACGGCTTCTTGCTCGCATATGGGCTCGGCACGGCCGAGTCGGCGCTGGCGACAAAGAGGCGTTCGAACTCGTCGACGCCGCCGCCCCACACGCCAAAGTTCTGCTGCGTGAGTCGGCCCAGTGCATCCAGCTGGTCGATCACGTCCTTCATGGCGAGCGCGTACGAGTAGAAGAGCAGATACGCGCTCGAGCCGCGCACCGCACGCCGCTTCACCACCGGCAGCTCGCGGATGCGCTCCAGCAGCCGCACCCGACACGCCGCCGCCGGTGGGAAGTAGGGCGGAACGGGACTCTTGAGATGAAACGCAGAGCCGAGCGTGTAGAAGTAGAGCAGCACGTTGCCCACCATCTCGCGCCGCTCCGCGTTGACCGGAATCACAAAGTCGCGCCGAACGTGCCGGTACCAGTCCTGCCGCGTCGTCACGCACCGCATGCTGTGCAGCTTGTCCAGGATGTTCTGGCAGCAGCTCAGCATCGAACGATACGTCGCCACGGGGAACGGTCCCTTGAGTCGCGGCTCGTGCTTCGTCTGTGCCAAAAGCCCCTCGAGCTGGATCAGCGTCACTTGCAGGTGCAGCTCGATCGCCTGGAACTCGTCGCCATGACGCGTCGCAAAACTACCCAGCAGCGCCGCCTCCTCGTCCTCGTCCTCTCCCTCCTCCCGCTCCCTTGCGCCGTCTTCGTCGTCACTGCCGGCACTCCCACGCGCTCCCAGCTGCGCTGGATCGCGCGAGTACGACAGCACCAGGCGCTGATACAGCCACGCCAGCTTGAACAGCACATCCGAAACGCCCAGCGCCAGCTGGCGACGCGCCTCAAACGGCCACACGAGCTGGTTCAGCACCGTCGCCCACACCACGCCCACCACCACCGACGCAAACCGCTGGTACGCAATCTGCTCCACCTCCACGTCCGTCTTGCGCAGGTTGTACGAGTACAGCGCCGTCAGGTTGTACGTCAGCAGCACAAACCGCCCGCTCGACGCCAGCTGCGGCTTGCCCACAATGTACCGGAAGCACGGCACCGAAAACACCACGCCAAACAGCGGCAGCACCACATTGTTGTCCGGAAACAGCTTGTACACCCCCACCGCCGCACACGCGCCCAGCAGCGTCCCCAGGATCCGGTGGATGCTCATGTGGTTCGACTGCCCCACCGTAGGCGACAGCACCACCATGAAGCTCACCAACGCCCACTGGCCCTGGAACTTGGTGAACATCGGACGCGTCGACGGGAAGAACGCCGGACTCGCCAGCAGCGCGCTGCCCACGCCCGCCTTGATGGCAAACTTGGTGTCCGGCTGACGGAAGAATTCGCCCAGGCTCCACACCACCCGATTCATCTTTTCCTTCCACGTGAGCGCCTTGGGCGTCTGGTCCGTATTGCGCGCGTGGCGCCGGTTCGAGGGAAAGTCGAGCGGCGTCGTCATCTTCTTGGCCACGCCGCCCGCTCTAGCCCGATGGCTCCTTCGCCTCTTGGTCTCGCCCCATCGCCAGCCGAGCATGCTGGCGTACTCGGACACCATCGTGCCCGATGTGGCGAGGAAGAGCCGCATGCGCATCCACACCGACGTCTGGCGCGCCAGAGCGATGCGTTCCTCCGCCTGCCGAATCTGCTCCAGCGCCTCGATGAGCACCTCGAGCTCTTTGGCAAACTCTTCCAGATTGAAGACAAAGAAGAAGATCAGGAACACGTCCTCGTCGCCGCTCGTCTTTTGCAGCAGAGAGCTGACGCCGCCATTGGCGTGACGTGCGCTGGGGTCTGATGCCACCTCGCCGCTCGCATCGACGGCTTCTGCCAGCCTCTTGGGCTCCATGGTGTAGATGCGCTTGATGGCGACCGTCTGCTCGTGCTGGAAGCGACGCAGAGCGTTCGAGATATCCGTCTGAAGCCCGTCGAAG